GATTGATTGATTGATTGATTGATTGGTGGCTATGTAGGTCGGTCGGTGGGTTGGGCAGTCAGTCAGTCAGTCAGTCAGTCAATCAATCAATCAGCCACCACTTAGTCACACAATCAATCATGAAACCACTTTCTCGCTCACTTACTATTCACCCCAAATGTCAGCCACCCGGTCAATCGGTCAGTCCCTCAGTCCCTCAGTCCCTCAGTCAGTCAATCAGTCAATCAGTCAATCAGTCAATCAGTCAGTCAGTCAGTCAGTCAGTCAGATAAACAAACAAACAAGCAAGCCAACTAGCTAGCCAACCACCCGAACATGCAGCTATTCAATTAAGAAGCCACTCTTCCAAACAACTAGCCAGTCAACTAACGCTCGCCCAGCCAACCTTTAGCTTACTTGTCTACAATTGTAGCTAGTCGGTCTTTATACCTAGCATACCCAGCCGTGGTTGTTTCTCCTCTGTGACCAATGTTTGAGTTTGGTCTTGAATTTTTGTGTTCGATCTCTGACGTCTCTGACAAATAAACAAGACAAACAAATTTGGCAATTTATACAAAAAAAGTATGGGTTGATGTCCATGACGACAAGAATTAAAGTATACCTGTACCTTGTTTTGGTCCTTGTGGAAAGCATATCCAATTATAGGCATTAGAAGTGGAGTCAAGATGGTATCTATCAGGATAAGCAGGTACAAAAGGGCTCGAAACTTTCCATGAGGTTTTAAATCTTTAGGCAAACCAAGGTTCCACCTCATTTTGAATCTCTTGTACAATAATGGGTGGGAAACAAACTGCAAGATAAGAGGAAGACATATACAGGTATACAGATAATCGAGGTTCGACTGTACATCTCTTCTAAGTGGCCCGGTTCGCTACTGTGATTTCATTATTTAGAGTAAGTGGTGAAACTACTTTATAAAACTCTCTCTTAGCTTAATCTTCCTTAAAATTAATCTTGCTTAATCTTAGTGATTATTCTTTACCATAAGTGATGGCCTGCTTGTATAGCACATGCGTGGCAGTGGCTGTGCATGGTATGTTTTTTCGCGTTTAGAAAGAAGTTCCAAACAAAAACAGGCACGATCATCATGCTAACTGCTCTGTGTACAAGAAGCTATCTTTCGTGAAAAGGATATATACTTACCTTCTTTTGTGAATGAACTATTGCATCATCCGTTATGTCACTCAGCATTGAGCCACAGCGATCAGCATTTTCAGGTACGTCGCTTATAACCAACTGCTCACTAGCAGTCACCTGATCAATAAGCTGTACAGCGAAGTCTTCAGTCTGGTCTGCGAGCTTGTTTAAGAACTCAGTGTTCTCTGTGTAAGTATCAGCTAAAGTTTGCAACGTGAGGTTAACCTTAGATCAGATGTTAAAAAAGAAAAGTCACAAATGTTTAGTTTTACATAAAACCGAATTTCACGACATTTCTAGGACAGTTATGTTCCAAAACTAGGCTCGATAGAAATTTGATGAAATAGAAAGTTGAGATAAATGGTATCATTATAATCCATGCTAGCCAAGGGCATTAGCAGGGAAAACCGGGATCAGTTGGCAGACTTGCCTAGATGGTGTTTCATGGTTTTCCTTCGTGGGTATGTTAGTCCTTCAGGGAGGTCTCTAGAATTCAGCTTTTTGGAGCTGGGAGGCCCTGTGGTAATGCAACGCAATGCGATGTAAAGCCCCTAATGTTTTAGGCCAAGCCCTTGAGCTTGATTAATCCCCCTTTAATACCCCAATACTTGGTAGCCGCTGATAGAGATTTTATGCCGTTAAATTAAAGCCTCTTACATCAAAAGCTGTTGTTATCGGATCTCTGCAAGAACACAAATTTTTGGCAGTCACAATATTTTTGATGTTGTCGACATTCCATTGTTCTCCTGCGGGACTTTTGCCGCTCTTTATTAGTTTCTGTAGCGCCTTTTCCCCTGAGGACAAGAAAGAAAATAACTTTGGGTGGTGAAGGAAACTCAATCCAAAAGGTAGTATCGTCTCTTATTTTCTTTCTCGTTTGCTATAGTCGTCTTTTTTCTTCTTTCTTTCTTTCTTTCTTTCTTTCTTTCTTTCTATCTTTCTATCTTTCTATCTTTCTATCTTTCTATCTTTCTTTCTTTCTTTCTTTCTTTCTTTCTTTCTATCTTTCTTTCTTTCTTTCTTTCTTTCTTTTCTCGTGTGTCATTCTTTATTAGTGCTTGAAAGATTTTTCGTAATTCTACTTCCGAGTTACAATAAAGATAAGATAAGATAAGAACTTTATTAACGTGTCGAGGTCGCTAGCATACAATTAATGTATTCTAATTGGGGACACCTAACTACGATTACTTATCTAATAATTAATAAAATATGAAATACATGAACGCATGTAAGTGTTTTAAAATATATATATAAAACAAACAGTGAGTCATGCAGTAAGATCAAGTGTTAGTTGTTACGTAAAGAACAGTCTTTACGAATACTGTCCAGCAGGCTAATGAAATCAACCAATTTGATGCGCTTTTTAAAAGTGTGCAATGATTCAGAAGATCAAATAGATTTGTCGAGTTTCGACCAAATGACAGGGCCTANAGAAGAGCTTCTATTTTTTCCTATTCCCCCAGAACGCAGAAGCTTTATATGCACTCAGAGCTATCAAAATGGCTCCTTCCTCAAACTAAACGCAACAGTTCAAACCATGAATTCAGATGTATAGCTTACTATGATATAAAGGCATGTAGGGCGTCGCTATTATGATTAATAAAGATAAAGATAAGATAAGAACTTTATTAACGTGTCAAAGTCGCTAGCATACAATGTACACTAATTGGGGACACCTAACTACGATTAATTATCTAATAATTAATAAAATATGAAATACATGTACGTATGTAAGTGTTTTGAAATATATATATATATAAAACAGACAATGAGTCATGCAGTAAGATCAAGTGCTAGTTGTTACATAAAAAACAGTCTCTACAAGTACTGTCCAGCAAGTTTGTGAAATAAACCAAGCTGATGCGCTTTTTAAAAGTGTGCAATGATTCAGAAGATCGAATCGATTTGTCGAGTTTGGACCAAATGACAGGGCCTAAATAAGTCAGGCTATGTTTGCCATGAGCAACAGTCCGAAATCTGGGTATGGTGAAATCAGAATTTCTAAGGTGATACTGAGAATTGGTAACAACAAATGATTCCGCAATGTAAGGAGGCGCCAGACCATTTTGACTTTATACATTATGGTTGCAATGGCTTGCAATCGTCGCGTGTGAAGTGTTGGCAGTTTCGCTCTTTGATTAAAGTTTAACTTAACAACTGAGTTTATCGTCATTAACATTCACACAGTGTTCGGCGAAAGATTCAATGATTACTTTGTCAAGAAACTATTTTATTTATTAACTGAGGTTATTAAACAACTTTTCACAACATTCGGCTGTCTTTTAGTTGAAGACAGCACCCTAAATTAACCAAAGTTGCCTGTGTATCCTCCCGGCCCCACCAAAGGACATTGCAAGAGTACAAGATTCGATCCGAGTTCTGTTTTNGTTTGCCATGAGCAACAGTCCGAAATCTGGGTATGGTGAAATCAGAATTTCTAAGGTGATACTGAGAATTCCTTGTAACATCACAATTATCTTGCTGGGAAAATAATAGGGAATTGGAATAAATCGCAGAAACAAGGGCTTGTTCTTGCCACGATATTAGTTATATCACACAAAAAATACGCCTTATTTAAGTAACGAGGAAAGCTAACAAACCTTCGCTGGCATCTTGATCGTGCGTCACGAGCTCCACTTCCTCTATTTCGCCACCACCTGAGGAAAAACTTTGCTTTTATTATATTCAAATTAATGGATTTTCATGACGACATGAAACGGATCACAGGTCCCCAACTGAATTAAACGGTAAGCCCATAAAGTTCCCCGGCACTGGTATAGCAAACATTTAGCACAAGGGAGGGTTTCTATAAAAGTAAAGTATATGGATCGGCGCTTGTACTTGAAGAAAAAGCCTAGAAGTAGGTGGTCGTTACAAAAAAGTAACCGTTAGAGGAATTTGTGGTCGGCTCAAGCTGGATCTTCTATTTTAGTTTTATTTTTGTAAAACTTTTTCTATATATTTATAAAAAAAAAACGTTGTTAATATATTTTCTTTTAACTCATCCAATAATCAAGCTATCGCTATTTATCAATAGAATAATTACCTGTTTCCTTGACCTTACTTCTACTCTTCTTATAAGTCCGGAAGTCCAGGAATGTGGCTGCCCTTGTAAAGTCTCTGACCTTCCTCACTTTATTCATCTTTAACGTGTTCTGTAAAGCAGCCTAATTTCTAAGGGAAAAAAAAAATTTGGTTGGTTTGCAGTTTAATCAAATTGCGGATTCACCCATGCTGCTTTCTGAGTGCTTTATTGGCCTTCTATGTGATCTGCATATTTAGAACTTGATTGGTGAATCCAGATGAACGTATATCAACAATTGCGATCAAAACACTCTTTACGAAGTAATTTATGCCGACTTTTGCTCGATATAACCCTCAATACAGCTGCAGTTTTCATTAAATTTGACACATGCCCATTAATGCGATTCATTATTGAGAAATTCACACAGAAGGCAAGACGTTTGGACGACCGCATTTAAAAGGGTCGCCTACTTTTGAACTACAAGGAAATGGAAACCCTATATTCTCAATTGACGACTACTATGATAATAATATTCTAGTATCAGAAACCCTCAGGATCAAAATGACACGGCTTTAATATAATATGGCCGATTTCACATAAACCGCGACGTTTGGAGACAATTACCTTCAAAAGAGAAGTCTGATTGAAGGACGGGGTGACAAATACACGAAAGTTATTTTCTTTTGTGATATAACATGCATGTTGAATTCTCTCGCTGATGTCTCTTAAGTTTCCACTGTATTCTAATCACAAAGAAATTCTCATCTTAATTTCAAGTTTTTCTACCGAACTTTTAATCAGGCCTCAACTACAGATAGGACGTCTTTTGTTGTTTTTGTCGTTATGAGAGTGACTTAGAGGTAGTAGAATGCCCAAAATTAAACAAATATACATGTATATATTTTAAATAAACTGTGTTTACTATCATAAACTGTTTTTATCATCATATTTAGTCTTAACTAAATATTCAAAATGTAGCAAGAGACTTATTGGCGTCAAAAAGCAAATTCCTTAGAACTTACAGACACACGAAACACATAATGCCGTGGTAAATATTAAAACAACAAAACAAAACAAAACGAACTGAACTTCACTGTGTTTTGCTTTTCGGAACGGAGCAGAAATTTACAGTTGATTGATGTACATCAGTTTCAAAAAATGCCAAACTTTACAAAATAATAGTCTACCTCAAAATAGTTTTGAGATCGCCTCATAATGTTAGCCTGCAGTACAGGCGGACTAGCGGGGCAGAGAGCGACCACGTCGCCACCACGACGCCACCACGAGCGCGAAGCGTTCGTCGAAAAAGAAAATCCACTCGTTCTGCACGCGACATAGTTTACATTCAGTTTACAAATAGTTTCGTTTTCTACCCGTGTCTCTTCTTGAATTTACTGGGTATAAAACAAATATTAGTTTAAGAAATATTTCCAAAGCGGAATTTTCTTGTTTTGCAAGATAAGTCATTTGTGAAAGGAAGCTGAAAACGAGCGCCGCCGGTAATATTTTATGCCAGCGGAGTAGTAGCACCCCAATTAGAATGAAAAAAAGGTATTTGTTACCTTCGCTCAGTGAAAACCTGTCTTGTATTCTTTTTTTAAAAGTTGGAAGAAGGAGTTTATACGTTTGTAAGAAATTCGCAAATGCGTGACTCAGTGAACAGGAGTGTAATTGACAAAACGTGTCAGCTGTTCTCGACAAGCCTTCAATATAACATCAAATTTGGCTTTCACCAATCGGTGGAGAACACAATTTGCCTTTAATTTACGAGGTATTCGCAAATAATAAGGCTTAATTGCAGTTTAACAGACAACTCTTGCTGAGTTGACATTAAAGGATAATTAATGTCTTATTTAAATAAAAACCTTTCTTCAGCTTTTTTTAGATATCTATTTACATTCTTTTATCTTACAAATGACTGTAGTAATAAGAAATAGTCTTCTTGATCCGTTCTAGCTTGTATTCCTAACAAAATCTCTTTTTTTTTCTCTTTCTGAATTGATCTTTACGATTGTTGTTTTACGCTTTGGCTGATCTTTGATGGAGGCATCAGTGATCTCGTTTAGTTTTACTTTATGATTAGTACACTGCCAAGCTGAAATTTATCTACAGGTATTGTTCGGCAAGTTACTTTGTATGTGAAATGCGTTTTTCTGACTTTTTTTTTTTTCAGTTTCCCTTAGTCTATTTAAGTTCTATGAAAAAAAGTGTTTTTTATCGTTTTTTACCCTCTGTATTGTAATTAGAAATACATTTCGCTGTATTCATATTACATAGTTAATCAGTTTCTACACATCACAGCTGCATTGGAATAGCTCACAGGGAGCGTAATTTTTACAATTTTTTATGGTGAGAGGTCATACCCGACCAGTGGCCGAATTTCAATGTTCAAAATGTTGTTAAAATGTATTGATATGAAATACATGTAGAGCCAGTTCTTAAAAGCTTTTCTAAAACACGTTATGTTGCCACGATGCTAACCGTCAAGATTCCTCGAATTTACTGTTTTCATGGAGCAGTAATCTGCAGTTGATCTGCCGATCACATTCTGACAAAAGAAGCAACTTTTCAGCGTGTGGTATGTAGGAAATATGTCCAACGCCAAGAAATTACATTTCTCTCCGTACCGTCTCCTCAATTTGCAAAGCGGAAAAGAGACACTACGTCTTCTACGGAACAGTATTCATGCTAAACGAGTTTTGTTTCAGGATGAAAATAAGATAAAATGCCAAAGGCAGTATTAACGTGTTAACAGTAACGAGTACTATTACACTTGTAGATGATAAAAAAAAGACCTTTCTTACCTTAGTTCTTGTTTCTTTAAGTGCTAGAGGAAAGATTGAATTCTCCACAAAACTCGCCAATTTACGCCCAGTGGCTTTCAACTGGGCTAAATAGAAAATTAAGCTCGTAAAGTGACATCATGAAGTCAGAAGTTTCAGCACACATTTAAGTAATAAAATGTGACGTTTGGCTTTTAACCAATCACAAACGTCAAATTATCTTTTATTTGCAATACCCTCACGCCAAGTGATAATGTTTACAGTTGATTTCGTGAAATTCTTGCTGAATCATCTTTTAATTAAGCGAACACCTGTTTATGCATGCTTTTATATTTGTAACCCGATAAGTTACAAGATCGATATTAAAACAGATTGGTAAATGTTAGTTCATTTACCAATCGTTATAGGACACGATATCACGTAGCGCGTGTGATAATATATCTAGCTACTGAGTTAGCATGTAATAAATGTTAATATAGAAAGCTTCATATCACGCTGAGTTGAAGTTAAAGATTGTAATTCACGTCTTATTGAAATACCTCTCTTCTGATTGCCTTCAGCTAATTAATCTGTACTTATACTGTCCGGCTTTTCTTATTTGTATCAAACTTTTTTTCCAAGGGCTTGTTGTTTTGCGCTGTGGTTTTAGCAGCATGATCTTGATTGTAGTAGCTTGTATATGCTAAATTGGTTTCTTAGCAGAGGAGGTTAGCCACGCGCCGAACTGCATTATGGGTAAATATTACAATGCCCTCCAGTTTACACGATCTCTCATGCTGTTTGGATCTCCGGATAGGCGACCGACTAAATGAATGAATGAATTGAAGGAAGGAAGGAAGGAAGGAACGAAGGAAGGAAGGAAGGAAGGAAGGAAGGAATGAATGAATGAATTTTGTTTAAGTGTCAGAGTGTTAAGCAAGATATTAGCAAATTGTGGACACTAAAAGAACATTCCAAAAAAATAAAATAGGAATGCTTCGAATGTTAATAATCTGTTTTAAAATTTACAATCGTTTTAAAATCGTTCAAAATTTACAATTTTGAATTTTTTTTTAAATATTCACAAATGTATAATTTTAGATAGAAGGTGATAAAATTCCATTGTAAACGTGGTTAAGAGATATATAAGCAACAATTGGTGCATGGGCCCTCAATAAAAGGAGTCAAGTCTTTCTTTCTGATGTTGCTTCTAAAATTGTCCGGCGAGGGTCGCTGTCGATCACCTGATGAAAGTCTGGACCAAAACTGAATTTCTTTGGTCTTTTCGACGTAAATGCTGAACATTGAATGTTATTCTGATCGGTCCACAATTCTTTGAATTACCTTACCTACACATTATGATCGATGAAGACTATAAAAACGTTTTTTTTGTTTTTTTTTTGTTTTTTTTTTGCGATCGAATGTTTAGGCAACGTCCACGCTACGCCGGAAAAATTTGAAATTGCTGGCTTTTCGTTTTCGCCGTTGTAGACAGAAAACATGTTGGAAAATGTAGTTTTCGGAAACGATGGCTTCACGATAATTATACGATTTCCCTGACCGAGTTTTCCTCAACCACAAATCCAAAATGACCGGCAATTGTTGCTTTTTTAAATTCAAGCCTCCGGGGAGGTGTAAGATCAAGGTAAAGTCTGCATACCGGCCAAGTGGCCCACCAGGCCGGAGCTTATCCCGGTTTCTGTTGCATGAAGCGACTAGGAGTATTTCTACTCCCCCCTGGATGGGATGCTAGTCCATAGCAGGGTTACCCCCAGCATTAAGTTCGCCGGTACCCATTTATACACCTGGGTGGACAGAGGCACTGGGAGGTGTGGGCGGGGCTTATTGTTTCTTACATTGTCATCCGATCAATCTTGACGATAGACCCCGAGTATTTTCATGATGGACAGTAAACTGAGCTAAACCATGTTAAACAGCTGCTTTGTTAATAATCGATCTATCGGCGCAACGTGAAACACAAATTCAAACCTTTCAATGTGCTTTTTTTGTTTTGTTTCAAATTTATGACAATCTATACTACACCAGCTTTTTACTGCAGTGCTACTGGTTATACTTTTCAGCTGTCTTATTATTATGATGGCCAAGTCAATGAAACCTCTTGAAGTGTATTATTCAATGATCCACTGTTTGCATGTAATTATTCCTGTTTTCTTTCATACCAACGAGCTAATTTGTATGTTTATATCACTATAGGGACCTGTAATGGACATGTTATACTTTTCATTGCAAAACAACGAACCTGAATTGATATACATTCATAAGTGTGTTCGACAAAGGCATAATGTCGCCTTCCACAATACGCCGGAGGAATTTGAAAATGGAGGTTTCGCTCTGAAAACGCATCAAATGTTTTCTGTCCACTACGCTGGAGGAATTTAACACAACAATCACTGGTCATTTTGGATTTGTGTTTGAGTAAAGCTCAGGTAGGGAAATATATATCATGATTATCGTAAACTCATCGTTTTCGAAATGCGTCGTTTTCAAAAATATTTTCTCAGACACTAAAACGCAAAGCCAGCGTTTTCAAAGAAATACTGTAGATGGAGAAACCCCTTTTCTAGGTTTATCAGCGTTTTTGAGCCGATCGAGTGATTGTTGTGGGCGTAGGAATTTTTTTACGGTTAAAACCGAATAATTTGCTCAAGCCACAAAAACAACATTTCCGATACTCTGATAAGTAGGCTAATGCCTATGATCGACTCAAAACGTAGACTGAAAGGGGTTTCTTTATTCACAGTAAAAGTTTTTTCTCGAAAATTAAACTCGGAACGGAAATATGAAGAAAAACATATCTTTTGTCGCTTTGTTTCTTTGCCATCTTGCCACGATTACCCATAATGCCCTTATAGCGTGAACGGGTCTACCCCAATTTATCGAAAGAGTTCGACAGCTCATAATATCCAAGAAGAATGGCGTTGAAGAACTGCAAATGGCAAGCATATTTTCCACCGGGATAATTCGGTTAGGAAATTTGGACTATCTTTCCGGAATTTTTGGGTAAATGGTAAACAACCTGAGTCGATCTCCTGCCGCAGGAGAGCTGGCTCTCGTGTCTGGGTTTGACATGTTTGAGGTCCTGCAGGTTTGACTGAATAATAAAGTTATCCTGATTCTCAAACAGTGATTGGTTTTTAGCGCGTCTCATGTTTCCCCAACTTGGAGCAGCTAAGTTGTCCAATAACTGACAAGGTGCCCAGTTAACAAGGAGTCCAATTACAAAATTCGCAAGGCGCTCACGCGCAATATTTTGTTTCATTCTTGTGACTGAACAGTCCTTTATATTCCCAAAATCTTTCAGAACTGGCTTTTCCCAGTGAATTTTGTCATAGGGATTTAAAACCCTAAAATCCTGGTCTTCGCTTAGTGTGAGGTACGTTGGTGTTTTCTAGATATATTACATTTTTGGTAGTAAGAGAATTCCAAGACAGAAATTCGTTCAATTTTGTTTATAGCAATAATCATAGAATTGCCACAAATTGTCTTCCCAGAGAAATCGCATAACGAACGACTGAGTCGTGAGGTGAACAAATTTGAAAACGGACTTTGAGAAAGTCTACCAAACTCGTGATCAACCAAATCGGACTTGGACCGTTCATCTGTTAAACATACCTTTTTCCTTTGTTTTCACGTACGAGCATCCGCTTAGACAGTCAAAATTATAACTACGGTTCAATTAAAGTAAACACAACTTGAGTACGAGTAAATACGTCTCGTGAAAATTGAGGATAGTTGTCTTGGCCGCCAATCTGTGGTGCAGCCGAATACGTCACAAAATCCTTTTTACCATGTTTATCAGCTGGTAGACTGCCTGTGACGCGACACAGGCGCTCTTGTCTCTTGTGCCATTGCTGTCTGTTTAAAGTTGTTTTCAAGGAAGCCATGGAGGCATTGTACATATGGCGGTAGTGGCTGTCTTTTTTGCCATTGCTGTAGTTTTCTTTCTTTTCTTCCGAGGACGACGTATTTTCACTAAAGGTCTTAAACTGTATCAAGAGCGAGCAAGCAGAACTCAAAAACAGTTAGAGATTCTTCTTCAGGGGAAAATCAGGTAAGACAGTGAAGGCGAGGGTTTCAGCATGTAAGCTTTATAAGGTTTGTAATTGGTCAAAGAGTTGATGTACACCACACCCTCCCCTCCCCCTCCCCTACACACACACACACACGCACACACACACACACACACACACACACACGTCGGAGGCAAAGATACTAGTTTCTATGGAGGTGTCGAAATTGAAACAATCTTCATAATGGGCGATTTTGAAAGTATTATTAGAATGATCATTTACAAGAAAAGTTTAAAATGATAATTGCCGTTGCTTGGGGGTTGTCTAGACAGGTGTTGTCCAAATGATGTTTCACAATCGTCACAAGCATTTCACATCATTAACACTACACAGACCGATTATAACCTGGTGTGTCTGGGAAAATACGAATGAGTCATAATTTGCAAGTGTCAGTCATGTCATAATTTATTGGCAAAACTGCACTTAATTGAAAAAATTCCCCTGGGCTAAAACTAAACTGAGAAAATGTTAAGAATGTTAAATCTAGCGAGCGTACAATCATGTATTTCTGTCTTTGTCTACAATCTAACTGATAGACAGACTTAAAGGTATTTATTTAGTCTTTTGAAACTTATCCTTCCGAAATGTACCTCCAGAGATCTAAAATATTTCAAAGGGCAAAATTTCAAACTCCATCGCATCATTTTAAATCTCATTACCCGCATGGCGATTTGATTTCATAGATAGATATTGGGTCCATTTCAAAGTCTTATACAGTGTTAGAGAAGGGAGTTATGGGAGAATCAAATATATCGGGTGACGCTATAAACGCCCAGGTGCCAGGGAAGTGTGACCCTTGCAATATTTGATTGCTAATTACCTAACCCTAACAAGGAAACTGATCGTAACAAAGCCCAATTCTCTGCTTAACATTAAGCTAACCCTAAGATGCTAAGCTAACCCTAAAATACTATAATTAACCCTAACTCCACTTCCGCGCGTTAGTCTTTCCGAATCGAGATATTGCGTGACAATGCTAGTTGTGATTATCAAGTGCTTCCCACGTGCTTGTCACGCCGTGACATGCTCAGTAGACAATGCCAAGCGAACATACAACTGAGTGTCATCGACAGTGGATTGTGCCAAGTGGTTCCGTGTATAAGACTAGTTCAGGAGGGAAAACTAACAAGCTCCACATATTTCCTTGCCGAGGTGATACGTTAAAAACTCTATTTAATTGACCAGGGACGGACTTGATACCTACAAGTCCGTGTTTAGGACGCTGAACGGTTTGTATTTCCTAAAGCTGTTGACAACCGCTATTTAATAACATCCAGCTGTGTTGTTTTCTATGATGTAAACGTTTTGCTTTGCTTTGTTGCTTAGCTCGACGATGTCTACCTCTGATAATGATTCAGATGTCAGCGAAGACGGAATTTCGTTAAAAATTGACTCCAAAGGTTCCAAAGAGTGCAATGTAAGTGCTGAAAACATGTACATTGTAAGGTATTGTCAATTTTAATGTAGCTAATTTTCGCGTAGACTTCCCTGTTTCAGCCAACAAGGATGTGCTAGAAATAGCAGTTTCAATTGCTTTCCACGATGAAAATTTTTTTTGTCGTCGCTTTCATTTCAGGAAGGAATTGCAAAGTGTCTAACGCTTTCTCGGAGTCTGTACAGTTTGAAAAGCACCTCACTTTCACCTTGTCAGTTTAATCGATCGCCAACAAATTGGCGGGTCAGTTGTTTTTGTTCGTTGCTCTATTCGAACGGTTAACATGAAGAATACACGTGTAAGATGAGGTTCAATTATTCTAAAATCGGCTTGCTTTCGTGAAATGTAATCCAGCAGTAGGTGTTGTTTGTCCTCGTTGGTTTGTCTGGACCGCGCTTGGGGGTGTGTTGGGGGGCCGGGTGTTATTGTGCAATATTGTACATAGAATTTTAGCGTTGACGATACAGATTAAGCGGGATGCCTAACATTTCCACTTATCTTAATAGTTTTGTTAAAATAACTTCATTTGCAGAGTGCTTTTTTTCTGCTATAGATGTGCTTTTATACTTTCCTTTCATGGAAATAATAATTCATATTTCCTCTGACCAGATAATTACGGAATACATGTACTGATTACAAAATGTACATATTCTTTTGTAACTTTCTTTTTAAAGGGACTACAAAAATGTTGTCCTGGGCTTTCAGGGTTTTCCTTTTCTCAGTGACTCTTCTATCCATGACTTCCTTATGTGATATTAAGTGTACCCTGTCCAGAACATTGTTTGCTAACAGTTAACTTTTTACAAGCCAAAGACATTGTCAAATGAATTTTTAAAGTAGATAATAAACTTACAAAGCTTAATAAGTCTTTTCTGTATATGTATATTCTAAGCCAACATTATTCTTAAAAGAGTTTATGTGTTGACTGAATTTATTAGACAGTTTCCATTTTTGAACCTGGCAATTTTCTCCCTCATACTGATCAAAGCACTGAAATAACAATTTGATAACAAAAAGCTTGTTTGATGATGGTGATGCCCTCCAGCCATAACATTATTTGTAACAATCTTTTCCATTCACAAGGATATATCCAGGGAACATTAATAAGACTACCAGCAGCTTGAGCTAACTTAAAGATGGTGCAGCCCATTTAGTAATATGTACATGGCAGAGACTAGCAATATCTGATAATTAAAATGAGCTTATTGTTTGGGATTTAGGTTGAAAAGTATGTGCTTGTTGATCCACGCGTGTTACTATAAATGTATTGTATGTTGTGCAGGGATATGTACAAAGTAAAATTTGAACCTATTTTTTTTTTGTTATGTAATGGCAAAATGGTTGGCATGCGTGATTAATTTATGTAACGTACTTGTGTAACAAAGCCTGTAATTTACATAGAATTGTTAAATTTACCTAACCTATTTTGTTGAATAAATGTGTAAAATATAATGGTAGTTATAAGCTTAATAATTATGCAAAACGTAATTATCTATGCGAAGCAATTGATTTCTCTCTACAGATTGCCACTCCAGCTGAATTTGTTAAAAGATTTGGTGGCTCACGTGTGATAGAGAAAGTCTTGATAGCAAATAATGGTATTGCCGCTGTGAAATGTATGAGATCTGTTAGACGCTGGGCCTATGAATTGTTTGGCAATGACAAAGCTATACGCTTTGTTGCAATGGTTACACCAGAGGACCTTCGGGTAAGAGGACTCAGTTATTTTAATTCAGCCCTCCTAGTGTTAGTTTTTGCAGTTGCTTCATTGATAAATTAAGGTTATTGTTGCTCATCATGGTAAGATGCTTTGATAATATCTAATTGTTGCATACTGGTATCCAAATGTCAAGAAAGAAGTTAAAACTGAACATTCTATAATCTTTAACTTAGGAAAGTCTTGCATTTAGATGAGTTTTATTATTGTTATTGTTAATATTTCATAATTGTCTACGGGTACATACAATTTGTCTGCAGATAAATAATCATGATATTGTATAGTCAAATCAGGGGTTTCAAAACGTTTTGAAGTAGGCATCTGCAGCTGGAAGAGTAGCTAGGCAGCTATGACAATTTAGAGGCCCTCATCCTACATGTATAATGTGAAGGGCACTAAATACAATGGCTGCTTTAAGCTCTCTTTGTAACAAGCTTCCTGCTGCATAAAAAAAAAATTATTGCTCCAAAATTGAGTGTGAAGTTACTCTCTGCATTAAGACACCATGCCAAGCTTGTTTGTCACAAGCTGATTGCTACATGTACACTGTATAACCATGGCATGCAGAGTAGCTGGTGATACAATCAAGTAAGCGGCGGAACTCCGGCAGTTGCTGTCTTGTTTTGAAAAAACTGCAAATGTTACTGTTGTGAATATGCTGTTTCTTAGTTGATCATGTGACAAATGTTAATAATTTTTGGATTATGAATTTAATTTTAGTGAGTAGAATTATTTTTTAGTGTAATCTTCCTGCAGAATGTATGCACAAAGCGAATAGTGTGCTATTGAATAAATTGCACGTAATCATTAAGTTATGCTGTGCAATCATAGTATGTTGTTAGATTAAATTATACACTAAAATGGGTTAAATGCCTTTCCCTTGTCTGCATTTCATTTGACCTTCGTTTTGTGAGTTTAATAAGTCCTCACATTACAGTTAGAATTTTGACAAAAGTCATGTTATTTCTTTTTGTTTTATTAAGTCCTCCATTATCACTTTTTTAATGCTGTGTCTTGTGCCAGACTTTAACCCTGGGAGGGCCTCACTATTAAATAAACTTGGATCAATCCTCTAATTAGAAATCAAAAGCTAATAAATGTTACTTTTAAAATGATAGAACTACAGGTGATTAAAAGTTTTTGTTTTCAGAATACCTCTATTTATTAATAGCGGAGCTCCTGCACGCTGAAGGCGCACGAGCAGAGCCCCATACCTTAGAAAATTTGGTAACCCATCGATCTGAAAAATTTTGGTTGTCATGTGACTGTCCGAACGTACGTACGTACGTCCATCTGTCCGTACTTCAGTATGCCAATACTGTAGCTTGAAAACTAAGAGAGTAGCACCATTACCATAGCTACATCTTTTTTGGGCGTCCACACTATTGTTAATTGACAGCTGTCACAACAAGCTATCTGCTGACTAGTATCACATGACTATATTGCGGGCTCAGGTTTAGAGCTCATTGAGGTTGCATGGTTTTTTAAAGTTGACCGCTGACCAGTGACTGGTTTACCGATTGGATTGCGGGCTCAAGTCCCGTTATTTCTCTGGGAGAGAAGAGAGGAGTACTTGCAAAGTCAAAATTTCAGTGCAAATTAACCCCTGGCATGTTGTTGACTTTTCTTCTGACATATTCGTTGTACAATTATCTACTGGAAAGTCCCTGATATATTGCATACATAATTTCTACAATCTTGGTTAGGCTTGTTGGGTATAGTTTGTTAAAATTTTACTGGAGAAATAGCAAAACCACATGCTGAACAATTACATCCTCACAGTTGATCATTTTTTTGAGTTTCTGATCCAAAAAAAAATAATTCTCTTTTCTCTTTATCGTCAGTTATTGCAATCCCCTTGTGAGATAACTTTAAGAATTCCTAGGAATTCCTAAGAATTCCTAGGAAAAAATTCCTAGGAATTCCTAAGAATTCCTAGGAATTCCTAGGAATCTAAGGTGTGAATTTTCACGGTAATTCGGACTCG